AAGAGAAATATAGTCTAAGGAATATTGGTTGTGAAGTGGTGCAAAGATCAGTTCCCAGGGGAGGGTTTATCCATTCAATTATTTGATCAGATCTAATATTCCATTCTTTTTGTGTTATGGAATAGGGACGAAGGTTGTATCTTTTGTAGTTACCGGGGGGGACATCGAGATCACAAGGGAATGGACTTTGACTGTGGTCATCTGGAACACTGTATATCTTCCTCATGACTGGAGCAAGGGGTTGCAGCAGCACGATTTCTCCAAGAAACTGGTTGGTGAAGGCTCAAAAGCGATCTTGTTGAGAGACTTGGGACATAAAAGCTGGTCCTGAGGATACCTATCTCTGTCTCCCAGCCAGCTGGACTGGGACCTGCACCCTAATCTATCTCACCTCTGAAACAGACATTGGCTCCACTAATCGGTCCTTCAAGGTTCCTCTCACTGCTTACACTCCGATCAGGAGAGGTATTGCCCTCCTTCCCTTCCTTGCCTGCATAGGAAAAGCTATAGGCCTAGGCACTGGTATAGGGGGACTGGCAACCTCCCTTTCCTATTATCAGAGCCTATCCAAAGACCTTGCAGAAAGCTTAGTGGAAACTGCCCTAAGTGTTGACTCAGTACAGTATGAGACAGATTCCCTGGCAGCAAAATTGGACAGGACCTGACCTCCACACAGCTGAGAAAGGGGGGCTATGCCTAGTCCTAGAGGAAAAATGCTGTGTTTACACCAATCAGTCTGGCATAGTAAGAGATAGGGCAAAAAAAAACAAAAACAACTGGTCGATAGCGCCTCAAAAGTCTGACAACAACTTTCAGAATCTTGGGGTTCCTGGCTACAGAATCTTAACTGGACCTCCTAGCTTTTACTTCTAGGTGGACCCCTCTTAATGCTCGTCTTGGCACTCATCTTTGGCCTGGGCATCCTAAGAGCCCTTTCCTCCTTCCTCCAAAACCATATTCAGGCAATCAGATCCATAGGGGAAATGATGCTATTCCAGACCTACACTAGATATTATCTCCTCCCTCTATCACTGACTAATTAGGGGCATCTCTACACCCCACCTACGCATGAAGAAGCTACAGAAGAATGAGATCACATCTCTCATCCACCCCAGCTTGTAGGAACCCCAGCTTATAGGAATCCCAGCTTACAGGGGAAAAAAAAGAGAGGCTGGAATGTTAGACACATTCTTGCACTCAATTATGCCCTGCTTAGGGCTCTTGCCCCTCCCAGCGATTTTCCTGTTCACCAACCAGTTTCTCATTGTAGGTCTCATGATTAACAGCCTTTGGTTTCCAGTAATCTGCTTCACCCAGTTCCCAGTGGACCACCTACATCTGATCTAACCAGTTACTCTGATTGACCTTTACAAAAAACATAAATATCCTGCTCCCTCTACTCTGCCCTGCTGATGCCATTTTGGTCTCAGCCCTCTGCTAGCAGATGTAACAATCCTATATAATAAAAGGCTAATATGCAAATCGACCCATCAGTGGAACAACTGGTTGCTATGATGTGCACTGACCACCAGGGGGCAGATGCTCAATGCAGGAGCTGCCCCCTAGTGGTCAGTGCACTCCCACAGGGGGAGCACCACTCAGCTAGTTGCCTTATCCTATAAGTTAAATCACACCAACTAAATATCTGACTCCAACTAGCAAAGTTATCTAGCTTGTTGACTGCCACTGATGAGGGAGTGAGTTGTGAAATCAGTTTAAAGGTCATAAGAGACACTAAAATACAAAGTCTTGTTTTTTTTAATACAAATAGAAAAAAATCAGAGTGCATAATAATTTTGTTTTAGAAACTACTTATGTCACCCTGACCAGTTTGGCTCAGTGGATAGAGCGTCAGCCTGCGGACTGAAGGGTCCCGGGTTCGATTCTGGTCAAGGACATGTACCTTGGTTGCGGGCACATCCCCAGTGTGGGGTGTGCAGGAGGCAGCTGATTGATGTTTCTCTCTCATCAATGTTTCTAACTCTCTATCTCTCTCCCTTCCTCTCTGTAAAAAATCAATAAACTATATTTTTTTAAAAAAGAAACTACTTATGTCTGGCATGTGTGTAATGAGTTGTGACATAAAATGTAGCTCACAGCCCAAGCACAATATAATCAATGGAAAAGTCCCTAACAATGGGCAAGGTATTTTCCCTTTCCCCTTCTCCATTTCCTTTTTATTAAAGAAAAAGACAAACTACTGTATAAGGTCTTTCCCAGTTAAAATTTTATGAGTTTAGATAAAGGGAATAGAGAGAGTAGGGGCCTGAAAACTAGTACAGTAAGGCCTTGATTTTGGGAATCTACATTTGGACTTTGGAATTAACAGACAAAATTTCTGGTCCATATGTCATATGTGAAAAATAATACCCTGTCAATTTTAAAATGCTTTTAAGCAAAGTTTGCTTATAATTAAATTAACAGGTTATTTTTTTGTTATTAATTCACTATTACTTTAAATAAATTTTAGCAAATAGGTGATATGTTAGAAAAAACACTGTAGTAATATTTATGTAAGTAAATATTATATATCTATAACTATAGTCTACATATTTAAATCCAAGAGTCACTCCTTATAAAAAATGATTGGGAAATGATTAGGAAGTAATTACACTGCATGACTTTCTGCAGCAGTTTTAATGTGTGCAGGCACGGTTCTGAGGTGTTGCTAAGCCTCAGCCGTGTGCATTTGTTTACTCTCGGTGACTAGTGAATGCATGCATTTACTAGACCTGTTCAGAATAATTTAAAATTACAGAAATACAGAAAATTTTTCTGTAAAATTAAACTTTTCATATATAATTTTAATTACACAAATTAGACTACATAAGTAAAAACACGTAATCTAAAATGTCATTCTAAAATTTGTTTAAAATAACAGTGAATTAATTACAAAATGTCATTTTAACAGATGCATTTGGAAAACCTATTTTATTATTTAATAGACTTTTGGCTTAAAGGACACACCCTTGCTCAAATTAGTCTGTTATATCGAGGTTTTCCTGGTAATTTGCAGGAAGGACTCATATATTCTACCTTTCATCAGCCTTAAAGGAGACTAATGCCCTTACCCTAAGACCATGTGGCCTTCCCTACTCT